GTTTCCTAATACATGTAATTTAGCAATCATTTTTATAGTTCCTTTCAAGAACCCCTCTTTTGTCAATAACGTGGTGTTTTGTGTGTATCGTGTACTCCAGACATAACATTCTTCATGTATAGTGTCCTCATTGATTATGCTTGTCAATTATATTACACTTCTTCTCTTGTCGATTGCATTTCCTAATTCAAAATCACTTTATGTTAGCTTCTTTGCTTCCATCAACCATATTGTGTCGATCATGTAGGCGAACAAACTCCATGTCTCCGCTCCCAACTCGATCCTCACCACCCCAACTTGGCCACCCCTCAAGTTATGGCTTAAATTGTTTCTTCCATTGTAGTTAATCCTTCGCTGCCATATGTTTAGATGACCCATATTTTCCCTATGGCTCATCCAGTTTCAAAGCATGTAGCTTCTTTTCCTCTTTGCATTCCTCGATCCTTTGCAAATGTTGTTGGGGGATAAGGCTTCAGAAATTCAACGCCTATTGTCCACCCATTTCCATTTATGCTTTCATCAACATTCAGACCCACTTCAACATAAGTAACACAGTACTTTTTTTGGTAAATATGTTCTTCTTTTCACTGAGACTAAGATTTCTGAGCTACCAATTCCATTCTTTTTCTCTGTGGCCAAGTTTCTTTGGGATGTCCTAGTTTGAGATTATATGTAAATTTATGTTAGACTTGCATTTAATTGGTGAGTTCACTTTTGGCTTATTAACTCTTGCTATATTACTAACAAATTATCATTAAAAGCAAATTACTCTACACATTTTTCATGTTGATCATACTAAGTGAATGGTCATCCGATGCATATATTAAAAGTCTCCTTACTTTGGCTCAGCCATGGAACCACCTATCACTTATGTTTGAGTTGGTTTTCCTAAACTTCTCTAATACTATCATAATCACTCCAACTTATATTCTTTAGGTTCAATTTTCGATAACCCTTATAAGTGGATGCTACTACTCAAGTTTTTAGATTGCCTGTGACTAAGGTTTTGATTGAAATAATCATTACTAACCCTCTAGATAAGGAAGTGTGGATTGGTTCTTTCTCTTGTGGCTTTTGAAAGAAGTTTTAATTTGAAAGCATATCTTCCTACTCTCGTTTTGTAAATTTGAAAGCATACCTTCCTACTATTCGTTATGTAAATTTTTTTAAAAAATGGTTGTAGTTCCTCCTACTTCAGCATATTTCCCTATGATAGTTATCATGGTTATTGCTTTTATGGTGAGTTCCTTGTCTCCTAATAGTATTTTGAATGGGTTTTTCATTAAGACTAGATTCATTGTCCAATTGTTTTGGGCATATTTAATTAGTTCCAACATATCAAGTTGTTCAGTAATTTAAATTATTCTTGTATTTTGTTGACTATGTTTTGCAAATAACACTCTTAATAAGTTTTGTAAAAATAGTTAAAGCATCATCTTTATTGTGATATCTTAACAGATAATGATAATTCGTCCACTTTTAAGTGACATGTTCATACAACCTTGACTCTAACACCAATTTAAAATAAGATTGTTATGGGTATAGGGTTGGTCCACTAATACAACTTGAGACAAAATGTACAAAGAAAACACCAAAAAAAGAAACAACTTGTGGGTTACCAGCACTTGACTTCAAAATAAATTAGTCATTTTTAATCTGAAAAACAACAAGCGCACTTCATTCCAAACAATGATTTAATAGAAGCAAAAATCTAAAATTCCATAAGAAAAAAGAACAAATATTAACTTTAAGCAATGTTTAAGATTCACACTGAAAAGGGGAATCAAACATATCACATTTTACAAAAATTAAATTACATACCCTCAATAGCGAGCAACAATAATGAAAGAAAACGCCCAAGAGGAAGATTTAGGTCTCATGTCAGTACAAGAAAACTTGATCTAAAAATTAGCCATCAAGACTTGTAAAGCACTAGAAGAATGTATATCCAACCCACACATAAGATGAGTAAAAAAAAATTATTACTTAATATTCAATGATTTTCATAAATCTCAAGGGTTCTATTTATAAATCATCCAAGATCCAGTCAAAAACTACAAGTTCTAATTCTCCCAACAAACAATGGGAATCAACATTAGATTTCAGAATTTTCCCATAGAACTCATTCATAAAATAAAAACCAAGAGGAAGCACAGGCGCTGATTTTAGATATGCAAAAATCAAGTTTACAAAGGTGGTTTGGAACAATAGCAATCAATAGGAAACAAAAGTTAACACAAATTTTAGCAGGAAGAAAGGATGTGAAGCAAACATTATAGGATATCCAGGACTGTAGCAACAGAGGGAGTAGGATTGTAGTGTAATTAGCGGCATTAGGCTTCCACGACTATAGATAGCATTAGTGAAGAAAAGATCAGAAAATAGAAAGAATTGCGAGAAGATAGTCAAGAAGAAAATATGTGAACTGAAAAATCTTGAAATCCTATAGAATAGAAAATCCCAAAAAATTGAAATCAGACTTTATAACATTGATTTAATTAGGATCTTTGCAAAAATTTAAATAAATTTGAAGTGGAAGTCACATTATTGAAGAACACATCACATTCTCAATAGGATCAACATCATAAGCATGCTTTATCATAAATGGAAAGATAATACAATATGAACTAATAACAATACAAATCAAATTAAGCATGCCACTCTTAAGGTTCGCCTTTTGTGCTTTCAATGATTATGCACTTTCAGATGTTCACACCAGGTACATAAAACTACCGCTCTAAAATTACTTGTGTTGACCTTAAAATTGAGTTCTATGAATGTTTGGATAAAATTTTAATGCTATTTTTCGCTTTGAATGCAATTAGAATTTTCGAAATGACATTCAAATGTGTCACAGTGATTTTGATTTATTTTCCATGAATTTGTATAGGTACTTGAAAATGTCTACTCTCGGTTTGGGTGCAACAGGTTCACCATAAAAAAATTCTGTTGACCGCACATGAAGTTTATTTAAAAAACAGTTCAAAACAAACACTTTACAACAGTATGTATTGCCATGGCCGAAAGTTCCACTTCCATCAGCAGTCTTCCAATGAATTTCTAAAAGCAATCTTTACAACACCAATAAAAATATCCAACAATATATCTACCATTAGAACATTTATGCCAAAACTGAAATTCGTCATTCCAAAATAATGTTGGTGAATCAGTAAAAAACATTTATTTTGGTACTTTTTTGAGGTATCTAAAAATCGGTTAGAATTTTTTTCCGAGAGGATTTTCTAATGATTTTAGCTGGTATGTCTGCCAATAATATGACCTTTGTAATGTATTTTTTTATGACAGATATCTAATCCAATCACACAATTATCACTTGATCTTTCATTGATATAAACTGATAATTACCAATGTTTCATTGATATAAACGTGTACTTAGCCTTTGTTTAATTAACTCTACGACCCTTCACTTTTATAACATCCCATCAGTAATCTCACTTTCCACTCGCTATCAAAAAATATCTCACTTATAAACACTGTCATTTGTAAATAATATATACAAAGGTGCATGACTTGAAATAATTTTAATAAGTATTTTCATACCCAACATAAAAAAAATAGATTTAAGTTAATTTTTGAGATGTCATCATTGTGATTAGATACTAATCAAATATTATAATTACTATTCACCCTTATGTGACATATATCTTTAACTGCATCATACCTTTAACACTCATCATACTGGTGGATCAACTCCATCAATTTCAACCAAGAAAACTACATTCCAAATTGCCAGCTGTGTATGCATGCTATAATGTATATTCCTTCAACTTTAATTAGTGGCAGCATTCAATATGAGTAATGAAAAGTGGAGTGTGACCAAAGAAATGGTAGTTCCACCAGAAAAATATTTTACACGTGAAGTTGGGCAAAGTTTGTCCATAAAAGGGAATATATCTTTCTAATATGAAGCACGGATAGATGTTCTATCTATCTCCAACATTTTAAGAAGCTCAAGCAGTCCAGGACACCATGTCTGTGCGGCTGTGCCACACATGCCTTGTTCACTATATTTTCAAAATGAAAATAAGAAGGTTCAACAGAAATAAATGAGATATGATGGTTTACTGTATTTTGGTTATCTTAGAACTATTATTATTTATTAGCCTTATTCATTATTTTCAATATAAATACATGTGCATGCAATAACCATATTTATATGTAATTTGAGTTTGCAGTTACACCCGGCAACAATCATAGCAAGATGGCTTTGTCATGTTGGTTTTGCCTATATCCACAAGCATAAACAGATGGATTTATAATGAGGATGCAAGCTTATCCATATTTATAAATATAAATATACACACATTTTAACCTAAAAACAAAGAATGATACACATGTGCACACACAGTTAGCATATATGATTTAATAAAAATAATATAGTAAAAGTAATTCCTTGAATTTTAATATGAAGTAAAATAAAAGCCAAAAAAAATCTAGCAACATTTAGATGCCCAAAAGTATGCAATAGTATGAGAAATTGTTAAGTGACAGATTAAAGTATCCAGTATCCAATGCTCCATTAAAAACCACAAAAACCAGTAAGGAACAAGAAATGTCGGTATGACTCATGTGCCCAGCTTGGTTTTGGGCATCAAAGTGAGAAAAATTTATTCAATCTCCGTGAACACCCTTGTGGGTAGTCTTCTAAGCACCAGACTTGATCCAACCAGGAGGTCAAACCAAGACTAGTCTATAAATAATTATCCCATGGAAGGAAAGCATCCTTTCATAATTAAGTTCAATATTATAATCCAGGTAAAGGATGTCAAGCACAATAGGAAAAGTAATTAAAATTGCATAGTCTACATTTCTAACAAAAAAGCATGCCGCCACAAATTACGCAAGATCAAATTTTATCGTACCCGGGAACAGGAAAGTGGATGCGATTGGAAAAGAACATGATTTTTTTCTAGTTGATATGAAATTATTGACGGTATAATGAAAACTACAATGGGAAGGCTTGCAAAATAAAACGTTACCCGGCTACTGAACTTAGGAGAAACCCAGCAATCGCAAGCCAACCAGTTACTGTGGAAGCGGTTAGGGTAGAAAAGTCGAAGAAATACACGAGGCTCATTCGAGAAACGCGGGCTCCAACAAGAATAGACAAAAGAATTCCAAGCGTTAGGTAGTATAAGCACTGGAGGCACACTATCTGGGAAACAATAAGCCATGGATCCCAGACCACGGCACCGTAAAACATTATTCCCCTGAAAGTTGTGAGCAATGTAGCCCTTGTTTGCCAAACGAAAACCTTCCTCTTAAAATTTGGCCATTACAGAGAAAAGAAAAACCCGATGAGATTCTTCAACGACTGATGTTGTCAGAATTCGGAATTCGTCAAACAAAAAAAATGAGCAGGAGAAAGCACAATTTCCTCAATCTTAAATCCAGGAAAATTTTCCGAAACCCCCTCCAGATAATCTCAATTCGTCGAATTTATGAGAATAGGCCCAAAAAACAACCTAACAAGAAGTACCTGTTTCAAAGTGGAGTAACCATTAGAAGATCTCGCGAAGTCTATAAAGGGCTTCCCTGCGCGAGCTGAAGATCTCGCGAAGTTGATCCAGTTGATAGAGGGCTTCCCTGCGAGCTTTTGGTATTCAATAAAATTGGGAAATCCGGATTCGGGAGGAGTCAGCAGGAAAGTAAAGTAGCACGAAAGGGATCCGCACGCAAAAGGCCAATCGAGAACGAACTTTTATTTGTTCCCGTCACAGGAAGTAGCTCTAAGTTCGGCCTCCACCTCCAGTAGAATTTTACCATGCGTTCTTACTATTTACGCCCCAACAATCCGACCCGGAATGGAACTAGGATGGCTCGGTATTTCTAGATTTTGCTAGGTATTGCTCGGTATTACTCGGTATTGCTAGGTATTGGTCGATTTTGCTTGGCAATAACCAATACCGAACAAATACCGAGTAATACCGAGTAATACCGAGTTGTACCGAGTTGTATCGAGTTGTTCTAGAAAAACTCGGTACAACTCGGTATTGGTCTTCACAGAGCGGTATTTCTCGTTATTGTCATGCAATACCGAGCAATACCGAGCAATACCGAGCAAATACCGAGTAATACCTCGCAATACGTGAACATATCATTCTCGGGTTCCGGTCCGGGTCAAGTCGTCGGGTCGCGCGGTAGAGAGTAAGAGCACGTGACGACATGTTATTGGCGGCCAAACGTAGCTCTACGTCCGGTCAGAGGACGTAATAATTGTTCATCGAGAATAGTTGGGTCACTTCATAGGAGAAATTATTATGTGTGGAGTTCCAACTTGACTGCAACAGTAGATTCAACAAGTGGATATCTATTTATATTTTTTCTATATTTTTTGTCTTGTTAGTTCGAGCGATCCACTTACCCTATAATTTAAATAATTTCTTCAAATCTTGAATTTAGGGTTGGAGCCTTTTTAAGGAAAAAATTTGTGAAAGCTATCCAATATTTAGGATATTGACTAAAATAATATTTGACCTACTGAGAACTTAAAAAAAAAAGAGAAAAAATTCCATGAATATGAAGATTGATTTGGAGGATGATGTTGCATTCTTCGAGCAAATTATATGTCCACATGAGGCGGAGGTCGAAAGGCGGCATGCAAACGTCCAAGAAGATGAAGACTTTAAGTTGAAAAGCTGCAACCTTAATGAATGCTAGGTTTAGGGCATGAAGCAGAAGTTAGTTTGGTTGGAGGTGTCGAAGGATTCAACTTATCGATAAAGTTTAAACTCGTCTTGTTAACAAACTTGTAGACAGGCAACACATAGTGAAGACAAACTATATACAAACTTGTATCCATGACGTACAAAATATTTAATTGAATGTCTTTTACTTTGTACAAGTGTTTGATGAACAGTCTCAAATTTCTATGAGTTCATTTTGTTCTCCTTACCAATCCTTTTCAAACTGCATATTTACTGGGTATTTACTGCATATTCACTATGTTTTCACTTTGTATCAACTACGTATTCAATACATATTAATTGTGTATTTGTTGAACATTTGTTTAGTATTTGTTGTGCATTTGTTGCGCATTTATCAAGTATTTGTCGAGTATTTGCTGAGTATTTATTGCATATTTGATGTGTATTTACTGAGTATTTTGTTGTGTATTTTCTGCTTATTCAGTACGAATTTATTTTTTTATATGTTGTGTATTTGCTTTGTACTAGGGTGTGTATAAGAATGAAAAAGAGGCATATGAGATTTACTTAGTTATACTCATAATACTAGTTTTAGTGTTCGAATGGATCATCACGGATACTGGGCAAATTCCAAAAAGATAAAGTGCAAGGACTTTATCTATTCAAAATTAAATTTCAGGAAGGCTATTGATTTAATTCCCAAACAAAATATTAGAAATTAGAGACCATAACAGGTTATTCAGTTGTGATTAGGTTTATAGCAGATGAAGTTGGAAATTGGAATGTGAAAAAATTATTTAAAGTCATAATCATGATTTGGCAAGGCCAGAAGACCGACATCTACTAAGATCTTGTAAGAATATTTGTAATAATAAATCTTCAGCTCTTAAATAATTGATAGAAAATGGGATAAGAACCATTGATGCATTCTCCTACTTTGCAAATGAAGTTGGAGGTATCGATAATCTTAGATTCTCTAAGAGGGATGCATACAACTTTATTTAGAAAGAGAAAGGACAGATTAAATTTTGAACACTAATACTTTGATTCAATTATTTAATGATCGTCAAGTTGATGACAACATATTTTTATGGGATATCCAAATTGATGAATTTAATAGATTATAAAATATTTTTTAGGTCGATGGGATGTGTAGGATAGATTATAATTATTATGGGAATGTGCTGATTTTTATACCAGTTATATAGGCTTAAAAAATATAATTTAGTTTGTACAATATTTATTAGGGTTAATAATCATTGGAAGAACATTCTACTTGGGGTGGCCTTTTTATTAGAGGAAATAATTGAATCATTTACATGACTTTTTATAATGTTTATATAAATAATGGGTAATAAATATCTAATAACAATATTTACTTATTAGGACCATGCAATGGCTAGGACCATAAGACTTTTTATTTACCTCACACTCGCAATAGACTGTGCCAATGACATGTCTTTAAGAAGGTTTCCTCAAAAGTATGGTGTTTCAATATCAACAACAAAGTTAAAAGACTCTTTTACAAGTGTTTGGGCAAGTGTAACTTTGAGATGTTTGAGGAAATAGGGGATGAAATGATCACATAAGGGAACATCCATAATCATGTTTGTTTGGAGTATCTTTATAGAATAAGGAATAAGTTGTCAACAACATTCAATAAGGATTATTTTAGCATGGGCATTCTATCCACACAATGTAGCGAGTCTATTAATAATATGTGTCATAGCATTTTGAAGACCACAAGTTCTATAACTGATTATTTTTAAGCTTAGAGAAAGTGATGATAACTTGATGCCAGAATGAACATGATGAAGATTATAAATGCAATTAGTCTGAAATCTTATATGTAATTAAAAGCAACCCAATATTAAAACAAGCTGGTCGATTTTATTAAAAAAAAACTATATTCATTTTTTGAGAAAAAAAAAATTTTTGGATGTGGATGGAATGAGTATAGGCTTTATCTCAAGTGATTATTTGAAGCTTTTTATCAACTATGTAGAGAATAAGAAGTAATCTAACCCTTATGTTGTTCATTTTGATGTAAAAAATAGTTGCATTCAATGCACCTATGGAAGTTTGAGATAATGGGTATTGTATTCTCACTTCATGAGAGTTTTGAGGTAGTTGGATAATATCAAAATTCATGAGAAGTACCTAATGATGCAATAGTCAACAAAAGCATGGAAGAAATATATTCAGGCAACATGTTCATAGGTAAAGAAAGAATAATTATGAAACTTGTAGTGGATTCATATTTCAAAATCATATCAACAAACTTTCGTAGCAAATTACCACACAAGCATAGGGGATTTAGGAGGCTTAGTAGTACATGTTGGCTATAATGAAAGACATGCTGAAAATATAGACTTGATCCTTGATGTAAAGAAAAAGAAGAACAAGTTCATTAGCAACACCTAGGGTGGGATAAAAAATTTGAAAGACCCACCAAATTGTAATCCTAAGGGCATATTTGATGGAAGGTTGCTGGAAGAAAAAGAAGAAGCCTAAGAGTATGATTAAACTCACTTATTAATTACTTTTTATTACATATTATGAGATAATGTATATTTTGCTGAGATTAATTATTTCTAAAAAAATTTTAAGCTTGCTCAAATTCTTCAATGAGGAGTTCATAATCGAAGCAACCACTAGTTATCCATCTTCTGAATACACGAGGTTAATGATGGATATCATTGCTTCAGACCAACAATTGTAATGATTGAATTTTAACTTAAAAAATAATTCATTGTAGTAGTGAAAGGAGTTGTAATGAATAACCAAAGTAATTCTTTGTAATAACTAACATTCTTCATGTAATTTAATAACATGAGTTGATCTTAGTTCATAATGTTAATGCATATGTTCTTTCACCAAATGTTATAGTGTATTTGTTGAGTATTATATACGTATTTGATGAGTGTTTGCTGCATATTTTATGCATATTTGCTGCATATTTTCTATGTATTTATTGAGTATTTGTTACGTGTTTGATGAGTAATTATTGCATGTTTATTAAGTATTTGGTGTGTATTTACGTAGTATTTATACATATATGTTGTATATTTACTGTTTATTTACTATGCATTTGCGGTGCATTTGCTATATGTTTGTTACGTATCTATTGATTATTAGATGTGTATTTGCTAAGTATTTATTGCATGTGCTGAGTATTTTCTATGTATTTACTGTATTTTTTTTAATATTAGATGTGTATTTGCTACGTGTTTTATACATATTTATTAAGTATTATACGAGTGTTTACTAAGTATTTGTTATGTGTTTGTTGAGTATTTACTAGTTCATAACTGGGGCATCCACTAGTCGGCCATCATTTGAATACACTAGAATGATCATGGATATCATTGCTTTAGACCAATAATTATAATGATTGAATGTTAACTCAAAAATAATTCATTATAATGCTGAAAGGAGTTGTAGTGAATAAATCTAAGTAATTTTTTGTAATAACTGACATTCTTCATGCATTGAAATAACATGAGTTATTCTTTATTCATTATGTTTTTGAATATGTGCTTTCACCAGATGTTGTCTCATATTTGCTGAGTATTTTTGAATCTATGTTGAATATTTGTTGCATATTTGTTATGTATTTATTACGTATTCGTGACACACTTGTTGCATGTTTGATGTGTATTTGTTGAGTATTTGCTAAGTATCATATGCGTATTTGCTGAGTATTTTTGTGTGTATATTGTGTATCCATTGCACATTTGCAATGCATTTATAACGCTTTTGCTACATGTTTGTTGTGTATTTAATGTGTATCTATTGCATATCCACTAATTGTTTACTGCGTCTTCACTGCATTTAAAGAAGAACTCAAACTCAAACTCAAACATTTAAAGTAGAACTCAAACTACAACATTTAAAGAAGAACTCAAACTCAAATTCTTACTTCTTACCAAGCAACATACATAATCGATTTTGATGTTGCATTTGAGTAGGACACCATGTAAAGAAAAACTCAAACTCATATTAGATATTTTTTAATCATCCCCAATTAAGAAATCTTTTCT